AGACAAACTTTGAGTGGTTTCCACAAACACATTCACCTGTTTGGTTTCTGTCTATAATGTAAGAAAACAAGAATATAAGATGAGGAAAGACATGTAAATATAGCAACGTGCTAAATGTTTGTACTGACCTTCGCAGTAAAATGATAAGCAGCATTGTGTAATAGCAATGTCATTTTTAATGCACTCACTCTAAACCAGTATGTATTAGTAGAGTGAGTGTATGGACATTACAATTTATCACAATTAACAAAGGAGACAATGTTTCACACGGTCTGTAAAAAATAAATAATGCAAATTTTTTTTAGAAAAAAAAGAAAAACTTAAAAGTTCATGTTCCTACCGAGTGCAGTGGGCAGCCGTCAGCACCCACTGTGGATGGATCAATGTCCCTCCACACGAAGATAGTTTACCTCTTAAATAAGCCATGAAAGGCAGCGAGTGCGGCTTGACTTCTTTCCCTTGAATGATCTCAGAACCGTGACCTGAAACAAAAAGAAAATATCCAAAAACATAAATCAGCACCTGATCAAGTCAAGAACAGATGAGTGGAAAAACACTCTGCACCGAGATATCAGCAATGTGTTCTTTGTTGTTTACATAACACAATTATTCATTAAATCATTAAAGCCCAATAGAAACGTTACTCACCTGGCTGTGTGATGAAGAGGAGCACGCACGAGAGGAAAAGACCGAAACTCCTCAGGCAGAACATTTTTCCTGGCTGTGGCAGATCAGATGTTGAATGCAGTGAAACCCGCTGTGATGAATCACACACAAAACTGAGGAGTGCTGATGTTGTTCTAATGCCTGTGGTCAGACTGGTCATAAGTGATGACCTTAAGCTCTTTTTATATCGTGCATTATCTCACATCAAAACTTGGTGCAACACTTCGAGCAACACGTATGAATGTTTCTAGCAACAGCTCACAGTTTCAGTGGGTGTGTGTCCACACTGTCAGTTACACTCATGAGTGTTTCTAAATGCCCCATTTTAATTAGAATATTTATGAAAGTAAATGATCTGAAAGGACAGAGCG